CCAGTTCCATCCTCTCTCTCTCTCTCTCTCTCTCCTCCCTCCTCTTTTCTTTTCCTTCTCCCACCCGCCCCGGGCTCATCAGGTCGCATCAGGACTGAGCGTGTCCTCTTCCCCTGTGGCCTGGCCAGGCCGTCCCGCCAGGGGAAACTGATCACAAAGCTGGCAAGGGAGCCCGGGCCCCATGCAGTCCCCACTTGAAGCCTGAGCTGCTCATCTGCTACAGCTTTGTAGGGGGCCTAGGTCCTTGGTTGAGGCAAGGACCGTCCCAGCAAGCCCCTCTGGGGGCCCTGGTTAGTTTTTCCACCAGGCACGAAACTTTGGAATCTGTTAAGAATTTCCTTTGGCTCGTTTCGAGTTGACGCTGCAAATCCAACACCCCCCAAACAGCCTTCTTCTGTTTTCCCTTGGAAAATCCGTCATTTTAACGGTGTCGTCCCGCCGTTGGGTGAAAGGGGTCAAAGCTATCATCGTATCCTCGTTTCCTCAGCAAGAACAAAGGACGTGAGGAGACGAAAGTGATGTAAAATAAGGAACCAAGACGGAGAGGACTTGAGGATGGAGCTCAGCCATACAGGATATACTGTTGTGATGGCATCAAAGACACCCAGCGATTGCAATTTAATTCAGGAGACACAAAGAACGAGGATGAACCAGGTTCCATGATGGAACGATGGAGCTGAAGGTGACACGGGCCTCGGCCTTAGCATGGAGCAGACTCTGGGAGCGCTGAGTTGGCATTGTCCACGGAGGCCAACCGTGAGGCCGTGTTCTGCTGTTCGAGGTGCTGGAAAATCGCACCCAGTCAGTCGCCCTGTGTACCCTGAGACTCGGGGACCTGACACCGGCAGAAGCTTTTCCATTTCCCGAGGCCCCACTTGTCAATTGTCGCTCTCAGAGCCTGGGCGGTGGCTCTTCTGCCCAGGAAGTCGTCTCCCGGGCCAGCGAGCTCAAGGCTCTTCCCCACGTCTTCCTCTAACGGGTTTCAGGTGTCTGGTTTGGTGCTTTGACCCACTTGGACTTGAGTTTTGTGCAGGGCGATGAGGATGGATCTGTTTGCGTTGTTTTCCCGCGTGTGGACATGCAGTTGGACCAGCGCCGTTTGCTGAAGCTGCTGCCTTTCTCCCATGGCCCGGTCTTGGCTGCTTTGTCGAAAAATCAAGCACCCGGGGGTGCGTGGGTTTGCTTCTGGGTCTTCTGCTGGGTCCCATTGACCCACCATTCTGCTTCTGTGCCAGCACCGTGCAGTTTTATGACTGTTGCCCCATGGTACAGCTTGAGGTCGGGGCTGGAGACACCTCCAGGCGATCTGCTGTCGCACAGGATCATTTTGGAGATTCTGGGTTTTTTGTTTCACGTCATTTTTTCTTAAACATCGAGCGTTCCCATCCGCCCATCTGCAGTGGTTTGAAGACGCATCCCCTCCCAGGAAGACCGCACTAATCGTCCAGGTCAACCCGGGCGACTGCAGGTTCCAGGATGGCGAAGCCAGAGCTCGGATGGAGGCGCCACAACTCTTTGGAAACACCTCTGGGTTCCTTGTGTCCGTCTGGCTTCTCTGGCTGACGGTTGCAGGAGGGACAGGGTTTTAACACGCACCTCTGGGCCACCGGAACTCGTCACGTAGACCAGGCTGGCCTCCAGCCCAGTGAGCTACCCCTGCCTCTGCCCCCTACTGATTGTCCCTCCGATTTCTCCGACGTGCTCGTAGTCCTGTTCATCTCTCCGCTCGTCTCTCTCTCTCTCTCTCTCTCTGTTGATTGTCCTCTCTCTCGCGAGGCCGTGTCCTCCTGAAAGGGTGCAGAGATGACACGGGTGAACCTCCCCATCCAGTTTCCTCCCGAAATGACTCGGTGATCACGTTGGCACTCCTGTGTGAGGAGAGACGTCGGGGGGGGGGAGCACCGGAATTACAGGAATAGATGTTGGCAGGGACATCTACATTCACAGCGTTTCCACTGTCACGCGTTCTGTTATGCATCTGTTTGGGCTGTTCTAGAACGGAATGACCTATGGCGACCTGCACGTGAGCTTCACGCGGGAAGAGTGGGCCTTGCTGGATCCTTCCCAGAAGAGTCTCTACAAAGATGTGACGCTGGAGACCTACAGGAACCTTACAGCCATAGGTAAGACAGTGACTTCTTGTTCACTCTTCAAAGCGAAGCGAACTGTGCTTGTTGTTCTTCTGTTCTTCCGTTGGGAACGAATATGAATGTTGGAACAAACCAGGCGTGTTTCAAAGGTTCGCCGAAGAGAGGAGCTTAAAGGTTGGCCTAACGTCCAATAGTATATCATGGGTTTTCTGGTACCTGTTTCAGGCTACTGTTGGAGAGAACAGGAGATTGAAGACCACCGCCAGCGGTCCAGAAGACACGGGAGGTAGTGTTTCACGCGCAAGCTGCTTCGGCTATGCCTCGGAAGACATCGTAGTTTGTCCTGGAAATGTCAGGAAGAGCAATAGTGTTGAGGAAAGAAAGAAAGAAAGAAAGAAAGAAAGAAAGAAAGAAAGAAAGAAAGAAAGAAGGGAGGGAGGGAGGGAGGGAGGGAGGGAGGGAGGGAAGAAGGAAGAAAGGAAGGAAGGAAAGAGGGAAGGAAGGAAGGAAGGAAGGAAGAAGGGAAGGAAGGAGGGAGGGAGGGAAGGAAGGAAGGTGGGAAGGAAGGTGGGAAGGAAGGAAGGTGGGAAGGAAGGAAGGTGGGAAGGAAAGTAGGAAGGAGGGAAAGAAAGAGGGAAGGAAGGAAGGTGGGAAGGAAGGATGGAAGGAAGGTAAGAAGGAGGGAAGGAAGGAAGGAAGGAAAGAAGGAGGGAAGGAAGGTAGGAAGGAAGGAGGGAAGGAAGTAAGGAAGGAAGGAAGGAGGGAAGGAAGGAAAGAAGGAGGGAAGGAAGGTAGGAAGGAAGGAGGGAAGGAAGGAAGGAGGGAAGGAAGGTAGGAAGGAAGGAAGGAGGGAAGGAAGGAAGGAAAGAAGGAAGGAAGGAAGGAGGGAAGGAAGGAAGGAGAGAAGGAAGGAGGGAAGGAAGGTAGGAAGGAAGGAGGGAAGGAAGGAAGGAGGGAAGGAAGGAAGGAGGGAAGGAAGGAAGAGCCCTGCTTTTGAGTGTATTGGTGACTACGACATTTTCACAACTCCGTGTCCATCAAGGCATCCCTCTGAGAACGAGGGCAAGGGAACAGTGTCCTAACAGACGTCCCCGTCTGAACCATAGCACTACAGATTCGCAGTAGAACGGCCGATGTCTTTTGCCTCAGGCCAACTCGGGGATTGCAGAAAGTATCCACACTGAATGTGTCCAAAACCTCTCATGGAGGGGATTCCTCAGCCAAGCTGGTTCCTACCCCTATATTCTAATAGGAAGGTTGCAGAGTTTAGCCAGAGGGGGGCAGCTGGTGAGAATGGAGACCACGGTGGAGCCACTGGTCTGGAAATAGTGAAAGAGTTCAGTTTGGGTGAGCCAAGTCATCACAGGTCATTTCTGAACTGTCCCCGTCCCCTGATTATTAATGCCAACTCAAGCCTAAGGCTGTCAACCGATCAGAATGTCTACGCCAAGCCGGGGACTGCCAATGGGCTCAGCCAGTACCACCAATTAATCTTTCCACCTCGTCCACGAAATCCCACGTCGGGCAAATCTCGACCAACCCTAGCCGCGTGTGAGGATGCTTCTGTTTGTCGCAGCCCAGGAAAAGTTGTGAGCGCAACGGGTGTGGCCAAGCTGACGTTTTCCATTTCTCTTTAATAATGTGAAAAACCTTATATTTATTTATATATTTTTAAAGCATATTAATATATATTAATTAAAATACTAAATATATTAAAAATCTATTAAATACATTAAATATATTAACTATATTAAAATATATTAATATATTAAAATATATTAATATATTAAATTTAAATGTATATATTTAAAAAATTAAATATATTAATGTATATTTTTAAAAAATGCCCTACGTGAGCCACGTCATTAATGCTCTTAACGTCACCGGTATCTTCAAAGGTGCAAAACAACCACAGCGAAAGAGAAAACCATGAATGTCAACCAAGTGATAAAACTCTCCAGGGGCCGGAGAGCTGGCTCCGTGGTTAAGAGCACTGTCTGCTCTTCCTGAAGGACCCGGGTTCAATTCCCAGCACCCGCAAGGCAGCTCACAACTGTCTGTAACAGATCTTTACCCTCTAATGCACGTAAAAAAAAAAAAAAAAAAGCTTTCGGATTGGACCAAATTGTAAATGGGCCAAATGCTGATAAAGAGATCCATCAGCATCATGAGTTTGGTTAAGCTTACACACGTGTCAATTGTGTTTGCAGGCCTGAGAGAACAGCACCCGCTGGAGAGAAGCCGTGCGCGTGTGATCGGTGTGGCAAAGCCTTTTCGCAATACTTCAGCATCCAGGTCCACAAAAGGACACACACCGGGGAGAAGCCCTACCGGTGTGACCAGTGTGGCAAGGCCTTTGCACGCAGCAGCCTCCTCCTGTACCATAAGAGACCGCGCGCTCCAGAGAGACCCTACAAACTGATCAAAGCAGAAATGAGAAGAGGGACATGAAAACAGGCTCCGGAGAGAGCCAAGGAAGCGGCACGTCATACCACAGAAAACGGGAGGATCTAAAGGAAATGGATGATTTTCTTGATGGGTAGCTATCACTCACCGTAGTTACCTCGAGAACGGAACCCACAGCCCCTAAGGATGGAGAAGCCGTCATCAAAAGTCATCCAAAAAAGTCATCGAGGAGCCCTGGGCCAGATGGCTCCAGCGCAGAATTCTACCAGACCTTCAAAGAAGAGCTAACGCCAATACTCCTCAAGCTATTCCACAAAACAGAAACAGAAGGAACGCTGCCGAGCTCATTCTACGAGGCCGGTCACCCCGATACCTAAACCACACGGAGACCCAACGCAGAAAGGGAATTTCAGGCCAGTCTCCCCTATGAACATGTCCACCGTGAGCCAAGTAGGCTTCGTCGGAGGCATGCAGGGCTGGTTCAGCACATGAAGATCCATCATCGACGTAATCCACCACAGAGACAACCGAAAGGAAGAAAAAAACAAACCAAAGAAACAAACACATGATCATCTCCTTAGATGCTGAAAGGCCCTTGACAAAATCCAACACCCCCTCGTGTTTAGAGTCCTGGAGAGATCGGGGATAACCAGAACATACCAGAACACAATAAAGGCGATCATCCATCAGGCCAAGAGCCAACCTCAAGTTACATGGAGAGAGACTTAAGCCAATGGCACTGAAATCAGGGTCAAGACGAGGCCGCCCTCTCTCACCTCACCGCCTCTCTTCGATACAGTACTTGAAGCACTAGCCAAAGCAATAAGATAGGTGAAGAGGAGCAATGGAGATACAAATTGGAATGGAAGAAGTCAAAGTACCGCTGTTTGCAGACGACACGAGCGACCCCCAAAAGTCTACCAGGGAACCCGGACCTTCAGCAAAGTGTCTGGATACAAAATTAACTCAAAAAAAAAAAAAAAAAAAAGAAAGAAAAAGAAAAGAAAAAAGTCAGTCGCCCTCCTGTACGCAGAGACAAAAGGGCTGAGAAAGAACGTAGGGAGACGACACCCTTCACCACAGCCACAGGGGACCTAAACTATCTCTCTGCGACTCCAACCAAGCAAGGGAAAGACCCGTACGACAAGAACTTCAAGCCTTTAAAGAAAGAAACATAGCGAAAAGCCACCCACAGATGTGATGCGGTTCCCATCATGAGCCCGACACACCGTTCTCCAGACCTGGAAAGAGCCACCGTGAACCCCCTTTGGGAACAAGAAAGAGGCCCAGGGTAGCCCACACCATCCCGTACAATAAACTGCACGGCCCTGGCGATAGAAACAGGCTGGTGGATCGGCGGAGCCGGGCTGAAGACCCCGAAACAACCCCCACCCCTGATTATCGACAAAGAGGCCGAATGCAATGTGGAGGAAAGAAAGGCAGCGTCTTCAGCAAATGGGGCTGGGCCCGACGGGATGTCCACATGCGGAAAAGCGCAGAGAGATCCATGCTTATCACCCTGCACAAAAGCAACGTCCAAGTGGATCAAAGGCCTCCACACGAAACCGGAGTCGCTAAACCTCTTAGAAGACAAAGTGGGGGAAAGTCTGAAACTCATGGGCCCAGGAGGCAACTTCCTGAACAGAGGACACCGACAGCACAGGCTCTGAGAGCAACCGTCGACAAGTGGGACCCCACGAGACTCTTCTGTACAGCAAAGGACACCGTCGTCGGAACAGAACGACAGCCTATGACATTGGGAAGGGATCGTCACCGACCCCGCATCTGACAGAGGGCTGATATCCGGAATATACAAAGGAACTAAAGAAGTTAAAGAGCAACAAATCAAGGAATCCAAGTTAAAAA